CCCCACCCCTCTGGTGTGCCTGTGCCTCATATTTTGGGAAACCCTGCATCTTACATTCTGTGAAACCCTGCACCTCAAACTTTGTTATTGATTTGCCTCTGTTAGCTGTATATGTGTACCTAACCTTTACTGTATCCCCTCTTGCTCCCCTGCATTGGTGACGCATAGGGGGTGCACGTGGGATTGGTGGTGCACCCCCTGTGATTGGCCGCTGCTGCCGCTGCCAGTGACAGCAGCGGGTGGTCACTGCTTGCCACCCCCTACCACCACCAACACCACCGGCAGTGTCTGCGGGTGGTCGCTGACCACCGGTCGCCACTCATCGTTTGCCACCCCCCTGCTGCCAACGCCGCCACAGCCACCTGTGGGAGCTCCCTGCTCGCTGTGGCCATGCCCCCACCGCTGCCGTCACCCGCAGGCATTTGCCATGACCCCCCAGCCTCCGGGGTCACACATCATTCAAGCTCCCCTGGTGTCGTGTGTGTGTGTGTGTGTCCCCCAGGTACCCAGAGGATTGTACCCTTATTATCCAGGATCCCCCATCCTCTCCTGCACATGTCATATCCCAACCCGGTTCTTCCCTTATTAAATTGTATGTGGTTAAGTTCCAACTGATGTCTCAGCTCTACTCTACAGGGAATAGGAGGAGAACTGCTCCCCATAAGTAGCCATGCCTCCCATAGCGCACTGGCACCCTCTAAATCCCTTCAATTGGAGAGGGGGTACCTTGTCTGAGTACCACCCGGGTTACACAGGCCATGGCAGAAGCAGGTTAAAATACAAGTTCCTGAACTGGCAAACAGTGGATGCATCTACACATTCATTAATGCACTGTAATTATGGTGCGTTACAAGTTTAATACGTGTAACAACGGGTTCTAAACAATGCGCTATAATCAGCACTACTGTGCATTAGCATTTTTTTTTCTCCTGATGTTAATGCACATGAGGCTAAGTACTGCGCATTAGCATATTTGGGCCAGTCACGCTAATCCGCAGAATTAATCTGCACATTAAGGGCACGTGTACATGTGACTAATTGCCTGTTTTTGTGGTTTATTTGCTTCACACTTTACACATGCAGGGTTTTTTGCTATTTAAATGAGCTAGTTATGTTGTGAAATAAACCACATCCCAATGGTGCAAATTGCAATGATACAGCCATTGATCTGTCACGTGTACACAGTAATTCACTGCATGATGTGTAATAAGCTAGTTTGTCCACCAGATGTCACTTCAGTTTGCAGGTATTTGTGTGTAGTGGGTATTTTTGGGCACCAGGTGTAGCAGCCCAGCCCAACATAAATCAATCTTCTGCTGACCTGCACAAGCCCCTGCACCTGCCCTGCATGGCCGTAGCCAGGGTGCCCACCTGGGCTGTGTTAGCCATGGCTTCCAAAGGGGGGGCCTTGATTGCCAGGGGAAATGTTGGCCTATAATACACCCCTGGTTCATACAAGGAATTAATAACCACTTGGCCGCCTAATGTGGGAACCTGGGAGTGGTTTCATTTGCCATTCAAAGCAAATGGTGGCCACCTGGTCCCAGGACTGCAGACTCTAGCCTACAGGCACAATAACATTTTTTTTTATTTTGTGGGCATGAGCTGACAGCATAGTCAGACCTATGGGTCCTCCTGGCTTGGCAGCAGACATCCCCAGCAAGCTTCCACTGCCTGCACAAAACCCCATGCCCACTCTGCGTGGCCATGGCCAGGGTGCCTGCCTGGGCCATGCTACCCCTGGCTCCCCAAGTGGGGGCCTTGATTGCCAGGGACACTGTCAGCCCATAATCCACACCCGGTTTATGCAAGAAATTAATAGCCCCTTGGACACCTAGCATGGGCACCCGAAAGCAGTTTCATTTGCCATTCAAAGCAAGTGGTGACCGCCTGGTCCTACAACTCCCCAGGTCCAGGGGGCTAGGGGTGTCAAGCAGGGCCAGGTGTTTGTTAGGCACCTGTTGGGTGGGGGCCTCCCTGTCGCTCTCCACCCACAGTCCCCCCAGCCCCGACAGTGCCTCTTACTGCACAGCACAGGAGAGGCAGGACAGGGATTTTCCAGGTTTACCAGTTTTACCTAACCCTCTGTGGGTCCCTCTGTTGATTTGGCAGTGAGGGGAACAAAGACAGGCAGCCAGGCTTGAGTATCTGCTAATCGCCCATATTGAAAGAATGTGTGCCTATCAAACTTATGCAAATCCCTCCATTTGCCCCATACACACATGGAACATGAAGTCAAGCAAATAGAAACCTTTATTTACATAATTAAATGTATTTTATATATTAAGCATAATTTACATAATTTATCAAACCACAAAACCACATTTACACAGTAACGATAAGCAATAATCAACAAGCCCACAGGCGGCATCAGCAGTACTTCTTTCAAGGGTTGCCAATGCCAAGAAGGGGTTGCCTGGCTGTGTGTGGGGGGAGGGGGGGTAGGCCCTGAGTGGCTGCAAAGATTGCCCAGCACAGGCTCCCTGCTGTGTGTTGCCCTGCACCTCCCTGCACTGCCCACCTCCCTCCCTGCACTGCAGTGTCCTATGCCAACCCAATCCCTCCCCCCCACTTCACCTCACAGCTCAGCCTAATCACAGGTGTCGGTTCAGATGACAGTTGACTTAAAGAGTCTCCAGGGCTTCACATACTGAAGATGTGGAGGTTGAATGCAGCAGTCTACCTCCTCGGAGAAATCCGCAGGTGCCATTACCGGTAGCCTGCCTCTATCTTCCTCCCTTGAACTAGCTTGAGTTGCAGCCATGGTTGGTGAGGTCTCCAGAGCAGAGAACGGCTTGGAGACCTCTGTCCGTCTCCGTTCAGGGTGATCGAGTACCTACATTAGTGGATGGAGGTACTTGTAATGCAACATGTCGGGTGCCGTGCCTCTGTTCTTGCAACATCGCTGTGGAAACAGCTGGCAGAATCTTGGCCTTGACCTGGCACTGGGCCACTATCTTGTTGTGCCCCCACTCAGCAAGTCTCCTGGATACATCAAGGTATATGTACCAGTTCACCCACAGGCTGTTGATGAACTGATGCAATACCTCAGGGTCCGCCAGCACCTGCACCAGGCTCTTGGTTTCTGCTTAGGACCAAGTGGTCCCAGTCTTACATGCCTCAGTCTGCTCTCTTCTCTCCACAATGTCAGGCATCTCAGATCAATATGGGGTACAGAGCTATGGCCTCAATTTATAAGTCTTGATGGGACCGGGTTCAGGAAAGTTCATCCCTCTCCAAGGCTCGTTTTGGTGCACAAAGTTTAGATACCAGGCCTGCTGGCACCATGCTGGCAACTATGTATCTTATAGGCATACTTGTTGTGGATGGTCTTTTGTGATTTTTGGCGCCACAAACATCTGCAAGGTGTAGCTAATCAATGAACCACGTACTAACAGGCCCATGATGGGCGCACATAGGGTCCCTTTCGGGGCCTGGCACAACAGCAGGCTACCCACCAGTGACCCATGTGTCAAGACACTGGTCCCTGTTCACAGTTTCTTACGTAGCCAGTGAGGAAAGGAATACTGACAGAACTGAATAACATCCACAGACTTAACACGCAGGTGGGCTCACAAAGTCGCTTGCCTTTTTTATGTAAAACCAGCAAGCAAATAAATGGCACGTGGGGGACAATTATGCTGTACTCAGTATAATGGCTCAAATAAGGAACTTGCTATTTGGCTGGGATTATGGCTCCAAATTCTTTTTGGGCCACACAACACCATGCCTCTGTGGCACTGGGGGACTCTCATGGACAACCCTGACTAGAGTCTTGCCCGTCACAAAGCATGTCTTGGTGGTGCCAGGCTTTCAACTGACAGCCCCCCTACCATGTCATTAATTAGGTCAGCAGATGTATTCATACCATTAATTCGTCACAGCCAAGGCGAGACAGGTGGTACGAGCGCTGCTGAGGTGAAGGCAACCCCAGCCACAGCCCGGCCAAGTGCAGCAGGTGCCAGCAGTCACCCACTGACAGCAGTGAGTGGGATCAGGGTCACCCATGGATCCTGCTGGCAGCAGATAGCCCCGGGAAGCTGCTGCTGCCTGCAGGGAGCCCTGTGCCCGATCCTAGACCCTGGCCCTGGCCCTGGCACTGGACTGGCTGGAGGGGAGGAGGCATGCATTCCCCCCCAAGATGTCAATGGCTAGCATGCCCACCTGGGCTACACTGCCTCTGGCACCCCAGGCAGCCCATGATAGGTAGGGGACCTTGGGCCCAGGCCCCAAGAGGCCTGTGCATTAATCCGACACTGGCACAGAATTAATAACTGCTTTGCCACTTTAAGTGGGCTTCCGAGCGTGGTCTCATTTGTCATTTAAAGCAGTATGGGGTTGGCAAATTCCAGGATTGCAGGTTCTAGCATGCAAGCATCATAACATTTTTTTCTGGTGTGGACCCCCCCCCGCCACCCAATTTTTAGTTTTACCAGGGCAGACACTTTTCCTGATTCACCCTGGTGACTGAGGCTTCAGGTACAAGCCAGACCCGAAGCTTATCCCTGGCCTCATGCCAGTAAAGGGGCAGGTGGTCCTGGATGGTTGGGGGTCAGCCGGGCAGGGCTCCTCGGGAGCAGTGTCTGGGTCACTGAGGTTGGCAAAGGTTCTTTTCCTCACTGCAACTCCCCACAGCACCCCCGCCAGCGGCACCAAGCCATTCAGAACACGCTGCTCACTGGCTCCCGCAGAACTTGCAACCATTGAAGAACATATCTTAGTAAAGCATAGCTCCCCAGACTTTGCCCAGAACCAGCCGCCATGAGGAACCGCTGCTGCCCTCCACCTGCATTGCTAAACCATCCCTTTTCAGCTTGCCATGGCTGATTTTTCTCCCCAACATTTATTCGCTTGCTGGTTTTACATAAACTGACAAGCAGTGTTTTGTGAGCCAGCAGGACAATTAAGTATGGCAGCTTTATAAATAGCGGGTCAGTTCTGTCTGCCTTCATTTGCTCAC